CACACACACACACACACACACACACACACACACATTCTCATGACTCATTTGTGCAGTTCCCTTGCTGGCCCACTGGCTTCTATTAATAAAAGAAACTGGCTAAAGGAGTGTGTTTAGGTCCCCTGCAAAATAGCCATTTCCAACCAAGTTCCAATACATGGAAACTGCTACCAAAAAATGACAAATGCAAAAGGCATTAAAAGGCCACCTATTTTTGTCTCTGCTCATTTTAATTACTGCCCCCCCCCCTCCCTTGGAAAGACAGCGTCTTCAAAGATTTGTTTTGTGCCTTCCCAATCTTAACTCCATCTCTCCTTTGGGACAGGGAGTTAACTTCCACTCTCAGGGGCAGGGCCAGGGCTGGGGTTGGGGAGGGCTCACCTTTTTCAAAGACCGATGCCTCCAATAAATGGGATGCTGCCCATGTGAGCCTGATTATTAAATGGGAGGAAATTCTTTCTTGGGGAGAAAGGAAGAGCCAGGCTCATTTTCCAAGATGTTTTATTTATTTATAACCAAGACATTGGCATAGGGCCCTGCGAGGACCTGCGTCCAAGGAGAACCTGCATCCAGCCTTGTGGAGGTTCTGAGGTAACAAGTGGCAGCAGATTTCCTGTGAGCCAAGGGAAGGGGAATGCTATCTCCTCTCAGGGGGCATCCTGAGGCTTTCACACCCTCCCCCCCGGTACCTTACGTCATTGACACACCTTGCTTCTCAGGACTTACACAAAATCCTCATGTGTTTAGTTTTCCTAGAACTCTTTGTTTCTCGACCCCTTGCTTCCCTCTACCTAACTCTTAAACAGGATGTCTGTGCTACTAGACAAAAAATGTTTTTCTTCTTCTAGGTCCCTCACATCAAAGTTTTCACTGAAAGTGTTTACACATGCTGTGGAAGTCTAGAAAGGTAGTCCGGAAGTCTCTGGGTGGCTCACAGGACTTGTGCTCAGTGGCTAATCCCAAGGTCTGGCCTCATTTGCACAGCAGAGAGGCCTGGCGTGCTGATTCAGCTTTGACAACAGCCAAGAAAACCGTGCCCACGGAGGAGTTCCACTCCCTCGCTCCCTCATGGCTTGCCATGAGCCAGGGTGGTCGGGCCCAAGTGACTTCTCACCAGATACACATCGATGCAGCTGAAGAACAGTGAGAATCCCACGGATGGTCGGAAACAGAACAAACACAAGGCACCCGTCTTGGAAGTGCCATCCGAATGCTACGGAGCTAGGGGCAAGGAGGGCGAGGCTGCATCTCCCTGCCTCGGCATGTTGTCAAGAGAGCAGTCCCTGGAGAAGGGGTCCTGCTTGGGAAAGTGGAGGGGCAGTGGAAAAGAAGAGGACCCACCACCAGATGGACTGACGCTGTGCCTAGACCACGAGGGGCTCAGGCCGGGGCAGAGTGGTGGGGATGGCGCTGGAACGGGCGGGGGTTCCCTCTCTTAGACACAGGGTGGCCATGAGTCGGAACCCACTGGATGGCACCTGACAGCAACCGTCCACCTAGTGTGGACCTCCCCTGCCCACGGCCGCACCCGCCTGCCCGGCGCAGCACTTACCGGCCGCTGGGTGCGCCGACGACGGCTTCTCCAGTGGCTTGCTCTCCCTCTTGGCCTCCTGCGCTGTGGCGCTCGGCTCCGGCTCGCCTGCGCCCCTCAGGGTCCAGAGTGGGTGTGTGCCGCAGCCACAGCCTGTCCTGGCCTTTGTCCCTCAAAGACCACCCACCTGGGAGGTCATGCCCAGCAGAGTGTGGACCATTTCCTCTCCTGATGGCATAGTGGTTATGTGCTGGGTTGCTAACTGCAAGGTCAGCAGTTTGAAACCACAAGGTGTTTCACGGTGAGAAAGAGGCAGCTTTCTACTCCTGCACAGAGATACCGTTCTGTGCGGAAACCCACAGGGGCAGTTCAGCGCTGGCCTATAGGGTCAAAGTGAGTCAGCGTTGCCTGATGGCAGTGAGTTCACTGTCCCCTTCACATTAAAATGAAGATCCCACCTGCGCTCCCACAGTAAGTTTGACTCTTTCATTAGCCAATTCTCCTCTGCTATTTCTGTAGCTTAAAAAAAACCACTAATAATCGTGGATGGATGAAACGTTTCTCTTCTGCCGTTTAAGCAGAGCTTTATAAATATGGGTGTGCATTTTCTTTTTGAATCAAGAGAAACACACACACACACACACACACACACACACACACACACACACACTTTAGGTCTTTAACTCCAGACCCTTCCCGGCATCTTGCAGTGAACAAAGCCTGGCAGCTTAGGCTGAGGAAGTGATAAATAATTAATGTGCTGAGTAGTGCCCTTTTAAGCCTCTTTCCCAGCTCTCATGATGAGCCCGAGCATCCTGGGAGAGACATTTCCAATTTCCAGCCATGATGGGAGATGGGTGCTGATGTCAGGATTTTATCTTCAAGCAACAACCCCTCCCCTCCTTTGCTATTTCAAGGGCTGTTGGAATCACTCTACAGAGGCTTCAAGAACCACTCTGAAATTCTGCAGAGCACACCATCAGCTACCGCTTGAACTGCTCCAGGTGCGGGACGGATTACGGGAACGCAGTGGCAGCCCTTGCAGTCAGACATCCCCCATGAGCCAAGGGGGCCTTGGACCAGAACGGCCACACATGCCAGCTCTTCGGGGCATTTTCTGGAGCTTCCTGAAACCACCTGCTCCATTAGGTGTCACCATAGGAGCCCATCGCATTTTCTACAGGGCACTGTTACTAACTTCCTAGGAGGGAGACAGAAAAGATTAGCATTTCTCTAATTCCTGGTGTGTCTCTCAGCTTCCCTCCTGGGAGAGCCAAAGCTCCCCAGGAGAGCAATCCAGTTGAGTTCTCTCTGGGCCCCACAGCGCACTATTGAAATATTATCCTAGGCCTGGAGTAGCCACTTAAAATATGCTCAACTTTTTGTCTTGTTAGAAAATCCACCACAGAAAAGTTCTCCCTAGGGCCCTTATCCATAATCT